TTTGTGCCCACTAATTATTATTTGTGACCTAAAAATTATTAATTGTGACCAATAAATTGATAAATTGTGACCTAAATAAGTATTGTGACTTATAAATTTTGGGATCTGTGACCGATGAACAAATTGTGACTTTTAAATTTCTAAGTTGTGACCAATAAATAAATTGTGACCTATGAAAATTTTGAATTGTGACCAAATTGTATAGATCTGTGACCTTAACATATTCGCCGGAATTGGATCAATCGTCGAAAAAGTCGTCGGAACGATCACCGGAGAAGAGTGGTGACTGGAACGGTCGCCAGAATAGTCTCGGAGTTGTAGGGGTGATGGAGGTGGGGGTGAGTTAATTATTTTATAGTAGAATTAAATATTAATAATAAATTAATTTAATAATTATTATTTCATAATTAAAAATTTAAATAAACCTGATTTTTGAAATTTAAAACATGTTTTGGTATTTTTGAAATGGGTAAAAGTAAAAGCCTTATTTATGTATTCTTCCCTTTATTATTCATGTATGTAGGTCATGCTTGCAAATGAGTTCAATAGCCAGAGGCACTAATTTGATCCGTGATTTGTACCCCTTTGCACGCACATAGAAAGAGTTTCTATGTTGCACATGATTACACCTCTTAAAATGTGGTCATATATAAACTAGTCATTGCATCCTTATTTTTCCCATGTAGAACAAGCTATAATTTTGTTTCTCGGCTAACACCTAACAACTTCTAATTTGTACATTTTGATCTTTAATTTCTCATTCAACCGAGTATCATTTTAGCCAAGTATTTAATTATATGATCTTGATATTCTCACCGAGGAAAAACACGAATCTACTTTCATCTTCCAAACCATAGAAATGGGTCGTACTCAAAATTATGCTAAGACACATTCATTTTTCAACAATAAATACTGCAATAATGTTATTTAATGTGGAAAGAGTGGAGAGGGGCTGAGGTGGGTTGCTCAGAGAAGCTGGGGTAAGAGTGGTTTATAGCATAGCATTATTGACCAACTCACTTTTATTTGCCTATCATGTTTTAAATAACAGAAAAAAAATAAATACAAAAATTAAAGCAAACTATCAGAATTTTGGATATAAACCATAGAGACAAAATGTGCTAATAAATGGAAGATTAAGAATAAGAAAGCAACAAAATAATGTATGGACATAAGTGCGACAGTAAGCAAAGATTAAGGACTTTAGTGCAATTCATAAGTGGTACAACAAAATAAAAACATTTAGATGCTCGATTCAAATCTAGTCAATTAAAACAATATCATCAAAGAATGGTATATGCATTCTTATCCACATGGCCTAGGTATGACTTACTAAAGACCATGGACCGCATGTTCGTCAATTAAGGTTATTTGCAACACACCTTCTAAGTTTGCACAGCAAAGGGACCACCTCCAATGTACCATTCGAATATACAAATAGTTCTAACTTGACTTTAAAAAAATTTGCAATTAAGAATACTAATCTATATGTTAATGTTTTCATGTGAATTCATTATTCTTTTCTTGGTCATGGATTTGGTAAAAGACTCCAGCTAGAATTTAAATTTACTACACTACTCTAAATAATAACTGATCAAATTAACACAATGGAACTGAGTGACAATGAACAAAATTCACAGTATTGTTTTGAATCAATAAACAATGAACATCTAAATAGTGGGAGACTAAATACAGAGAATCCGATTAGTCAAAGCAATTTTCCCTTATTTCAAAGCCCCATTACATATACATGCATATGCGCGGCACATTGGCTTAGTTATAGCGGATACGTATGAGAAACATAAAATCACCTGCACATGCAAATTCTCAGAGATGGTTTACCTTTGACGATCCAATGAATTCAAACTTTAGCTTAAATAATACTTGAAAAAAGGGAGGTTTGTGTTATTCAACAATCTAATAATTTTCTAGTGGATAGGTATATGTTACTTAAACATGAAATTAGGGAAGTTTGTGTATTTATTGAAAATGAATGGGGTGTCATGGGAGATACCCATTTTTCAAAACTCGAAAGAAGAAAGTTTTTGTAATTTTTGAAAGCGGAGCATGTCTCTAAACTTGTTGAAACCTAATATGAGGTCTCTTTAATTATGCCATAATCTCAAAATATGAACTTTATGACCTCAAAATATGAACTTTGTAACATTTTTAATTTAATTCTTTTTAGCTATAGTTTATAATATAAAGGAAATGGTAATATAAATTATTATATTCTTTCTTTGTAACTCTTTTACATTATATTACCAAGTGGTTGGAGGGTGTGCGGTAATAGATATACTTAATTCCAAGAATAAAAGTTACAATTTCATATGAACTTGCAAGCCAATATTGCTAAACAATAATGCATAGCAAACTTAAGTTAAAACAAGAAGGAAACGCCATTGCCTATACTTACATTGGAAAAGAAAACTAGCAGTAATGCATGAAATGTACACAATACATAAAAACAATTCATTTCTTTACTTATCCAGCATATCAAAAACAATTTGCATGCTTGGCCGATATTGTGGATTGGAGTGTAGGCATTCAATTGCAAGTTTAACAGCACACATCAAAAGCATCTCTTCTTCTCGCGTGGGATGAAGAATGCGTGGATCCAACAAATCTTCCAAGTGTAAATCTCCTTGCGACGGAGTTGTTACGTATTGAATGTATTCACCAGGATGCTTTCCTTTGATCACTTCCAATGCTAAAACTCCAAAACTATACACATCACACTTTTCCGTCACCTTCATTGTGTACGCAAGTTCTGCCCAAAAAACAGGGAACGAATACAATCAAAATCAGGTTTCTATGTTCCGTGAATGAAATTTAGGAAAAGGAAATATTACCAGGAGCGAAATAACCATATGTGCCTGCAAGAGAGCTGAAATTTGATGAATCGCATTTCAGGAACTTAGCAGTACCAAAATCTGAAACATGAGCCTCGTACTGTGAATCAAGCAAAATGTTGTTGCTGCTGGATATGTCTCGATGAACAATTGGAGGCGAACAATTATGATGCATGTAAGACAAAGCACGAGCCACGCCCTTCATGATATTAATCCTTTTAGGCCAATCCAATTTCTTAGCTTCTTCATCTGCACTTAGAGTTTTGGCCAAACTACCTCTGTCAAGGTATTCATAGACCAAAAGCAAGTTTTGATCATTTGAGCAGAAACCATAAAGTTTCACAATGTTCCGGTGCCTGATTTCTGTCAATGCTCTTATTTCACTCAGAAAAGCTTCAAAGTTTGCCATTTCAGATGATGAATGAAGTCTTTTGACTGCTGCTGTAACCATTTCAGATGAGAAATGAAGTCTTTTCCCTCCTATTGTCTTTTCTGATGAAAGTTGTGCTTTGTAAACCCTTCCATAGCCTCCCTCCCCAATACAAAAAGCTGCGTCAAATTCATTTGTGGCCTCTAAAATGTCATTATACGTAAGTTTTCCATTGAATATGGTGAGCAAATCATCATTTTCTTTCTTTGGATTCATCTTCCTGCGTTTATACAGGATGAGGATCCCGATAAACGCAAATAGAAGTAAAGATACACAAAGGAGAGGGGTTGCAATTATCAAAATGAATTTGTGGTCATTCCATGACTTGTTGTTTTTAACTCCAGGAGAGCTTTTACATGGTTGTAATCCCGAAATATTGCCACACAATCCTTTGTTCCCTCGTAGTTGTTCTACGGAGACATTTTGAAAGGCTTTGCCACTAGGAATTGGACCCTCCAACTCATTATAAGATATATCAATGTCCAACGAAACAGGAATTTCTTCAAAACTCGTAGGAATGAGTCCAAAGAGGTGATTGTGGGAGAGGTTTAACATTTCCAAGCTTGCCAAAAATCGTAATTCAGATGGTATTTCTCCACTGAGAAGATTATTACTCATATCCAACTTGGACAAATGGATTAACTTACCAAGCTGAATAGGGATTCTCTGGCTTAAATAGTTGAAGCTCAAATTCAAGTGATGCAACTTCTCAAAGTTTGCAAAATTTTCAGGTAGCTTACCTGTCAATCTATTTCTAGAGAGGTCAAGGTATTCTAAGTTTGACAGTGATCCCAATTGTTCTGGTATATCCGCAGAAAGTTGGTTATCCTCTAAATATAGATATATAAGTAAAGTTAACTTCCCAATTTCCTTCGAGATCTCCCCATGTAACTGGTTTGAAGAAAGATCTAGTGCTTGCAGTTGACTTAAATTTCCAAATTCTGGAGGAATGCTCCCTGTAAGGTTGTTCTTTGAAATTTTCAGAGATTGCAGTTGTTTGTTACTACCCCAGATGCTGGAGAGTTCGCCATAGAAATTATTCCTACTTAGGTCCATGAACGTCAAATTTGGATATACACCAAATTGTTCAGAAATATTTCCAGAAAGCTGGTTGTCATTAAACCTCGCTCTGACTAAACTAGAGCATTTTCTCAAACTTTGAGGGATTGGACCTGAAAGTCTATTGGAGGACACAGAAAGATTTTGTAGTACTCTGCCACTACATAACTCAGGCAAATCACCAGAAAAACGATTTGAAAACAATTGAACTTTGACAAGTTTCTTCAATTTCCCTAGTTCTCTTGGAACGGAACTGGAAAGTTGATTAGTATGGAGATACAGAGTTCGTAGACTAGTTAGTCCACTCAATGAAGCTGGAATTTGACCTGTGAGATTTTTTTTGCTCAAATCCAGGTTCTGAAGTGATGTTAACTTTCTCA